CCCCACTGAGGCCTGGAAGCAAAAGTCCACATTCTCCCTCTGTAGCTCCTGCTAATGAACGCCCATGCATCCTCTGCGAACCCCTTGCCAGATGCACTTAATCATTTCCAGGTGCATTTTCTGAAATGCATCCTGAGTTTCACCCAGTACCTGCAGGCCTCACCTCTGCCAGCTCTCACTGCAGGGCCCTCCCCTACATTCCTGCTAACCTAGGGAGCCAGGATTCTGAGTTCCTAGTTGGGGTCTCCTGTCACAAGTCTGGCTGCTATCCCCTCAGCTCCAGAACCTGCTTCTGCTCCAACCGGCCACCGGACTGCTGGGTCAGTCCAGAAGTGCCTGTCCATAGCGTCTGTCCCACTGAGGGTTCCCTGACCTCTGATGAGGTGTCCAGATAGCATGGCTGGAGTGAATCTGACTCCAGAAAGTGGGAAAATGGTGCCCGAGGCCATTTATGCCTTTAGCTCAAAGGGGATACTCTTCCTGCTAGATCCACATCGTTGGTCTAGCCAGAGACAATTGGGACTTTTCAATTTAGAGACATACATTCCCAATTCGGCCTCCCTTCCCATCTCTGACGTGTCCAGGGGTGACCTTTAGCATCTTGCACGAGTCAATGGGGAGCCCATAGCCACCATTTTGAAGATGCAGACAATAGTTCCGCCAAGGTTCCGTCATGATTTCTGGAGATGATGTGGAGTCCCCTGCTCAGTCAAGGAATCCTTCTCCCCGCCTCTCGAGTGTTGTTACCTCCAAGTGCCCTACGCCTAGAGATTGGGAGTCAGAGCATCCGCTGAGACAGACACAGTAAAATGTCTTGGGGATACGCCACTCACCAATGAGTTGCCGTTGCTTTTTATATCAGTGTGGCTTACCAACAAACAGAGGAATGGGTGGGGGCCGCTGAGTTTCCTGGGAGAAATGACCGTGGCTATTGACAGGGTGCTATTGTGAAGAAGTTAACGGACTGCCACGATGCCGTCTCTTCCAGAGAGCTTTTTGATTCCAAAGTCTAGAAGAGACCCTGGATTGCTAACAAATTCTTGGAATACATTGAAATCCACATCTGTTTATCCTCCTCCCTTCCTCTATCCCACAATGCGGGCAGGTCCAAGTTGTATGTTACGGTATCTTTTTCCGTGGTGGAAAGAACAAAGAAGTTGGGTGTTGAATTTAAATAAATATTTAATTCATGAAAATGATCTTATATGTTTTAAAACACTCTTTAAAGCTATTTTTATTCTCTAGAAAGCGCTTATTATAGGTAAATTACACATTTTACTACCGGAGCATTAGGTTTGCCATTAGTACAAATTTAAGGCACTACAAAGACCAGTAGATAATGTTAATTTCAAATACAGAAACTAAATATATTTTGTACCTTTTTTATTACTCATTTTCTTTTAAGTTTTATTGACTGCTTTTTATCTTAACTATATGTCTTTACATGCTGCAATCATAATGCACTGTAATGGTATTAATATTTTATAGAATCGGTATTTATAGTTCTTTATTTAGAAACAATGCAGTAGGTCTGCAGATATCTGAGCTCGTCTGGAATGGTGCCCTCCAAATAATGATAAATTACTTGTGCAGTATGCCATTTGCTAATTATATCCATGATTTACTGCAGAGCAAGACTTAAATCATTCATTTCGGTCTTGCGTAACAGTGCCATAAAATTTTTAGGTTTAAAAATGGTTTCCATGTGTATAATTTAAACAAATTTTAGAGCTATTGTATACACAAAATATTGCAACCACCCATTTGTTACATACTTTGTCTTTTTAAACTTCTACTTTTAATGATCACTGTGGTTGAAATTATTATGCTTAATTTTCATAATCATAGCTTTTAAATCTACAGCCGTTTTCACATGTTAGATAAAGAAAAAGATAGCTAATTGTGTGTAGATAGTATGTCATTCCTGAATAGTCCCAAATGGTACAAAATCATTAAAAAAGCTTAAGAGTACGAATTATTCTTCTATTAAAAAACAGTTGCTCTCTAACTAATTATTAGTTTGAGCTGCTTTGTTTCCAAGAACAAATGTTGATCCTTCTAGCCTTGTTCAGCACACCAAAATGAGATAAACGCTTTTTTTTCTTTCTCCTTCTACCGAAATCTTGCAGGTGAGAAGCCCTACAAATGCCCCCACTGTGATTATGCCGGCACCCAGTCAGCATCCTTAAAATACCACTTAGAACGACACCACCGGGAGCGGCAGAACGGAGCCGGGCCACTGTCTGGACAGCCCCCAAACCAAGACCACAGGGACGAGCTGCCCAACAAAGCTGCTTTGTTTATCAGGCCAGACATCCTGAGGGGGGCCTTTAAGGGTCTCCCCGGAATCGACTTCAGAGGTGGCCCTGCCTCTCAGCAGTGGACAGCGGGAGTGCTCTCGTCCGCAGATCACTCGGGGCAGGCCACCGGCATGACTTCCGAGGCTCCTTCGGACACCCTGAAAGGTGCCGACCTTCCTTCCAAAAGCACCCACTTCTCCGAAATCGGAAGAGCTTATCAAAGTATCGTGAACAACGGCGTGAATTTCCACGGGTCCTTGCAAGCTTTCATGGACAGCTTTGTCCTAAGCTCCTTGAAGAAGGAGAAGGACACGAAGGACAAAGCCCTGTCTGACCCCCCGTCCATGAAAGTGCACGGGCCGGACGGTGGTGAGGACAAGGCGGGCGGTAAGGCGGTCGCGAGGAAGTCGGAGAAATCTCAGTACGAGCCCCTAGACTTGTCGGTGCGGCCGGACGCCGCCTCGCTCCCAGGCTCGTCGGTGACCGTGCAAGACAGCATCGCGTGGCACGGCTGCTTGTTTTGTGCTTTCACGACATCGTCTATGGAGCTGATGGCTCTTCACCTGCAGGCCAACCACCTGGGCAAAGCGAAACGCAAAGATAACGCCGTCGGGGTGACCCTCAATTGCAAAGACCAAGCCCGGGAGGCCGGTAAGGTGGCCCTGCTGCCCTCGGTACAATCAAACAAAGAGCTGGCGCTTTCCAGTGTGATTGGGCCTCTAGAGTCTGCGTCCGAGAAGACGGCCCAAGGGCCGGTCAAGGAGACTCTGGGGGAGCAGAAGAGCGGCACGTGGCCCGGCCTGGTGGACCCCGCGTTTTGTAACTTCCCATCAGACTTCTACAAGCAGTTTGGCGTGTACCCGGGCATGGTCGGCTCGGGGGCCTCCAGTTCCTGCCCCAGCAAGGAGCCCGATGGGAAGGCCCACTCGGAAGACGACGCCCCGATCCTGATCCCCGAAACCGCAAACAAGAATACTACCGATGACCTCTCCGACATTGCCTCCTCGGAGGACATGGACTCCTCCAAGGGAGAGAACAACGACGAGGAGGATATCGAGACGGAGCCGGAGATGATGAGCAAGCCACAGTCCGCCCTCGGCAAGGACAGCGCCGGCGACGGTGGGGATGGCCTGCCGCCCACAGGCGCCCCTCAGCCCGTCCAGGGACTCGTGTCACCGTTGCCCCAGGCGCCCGAGAAGCAGTGGCACGGCCCGGGCCTTCTTCCAGCCCAGGACCCCTCGGCGGGCCTGCCCAAGCCGGAGCGGGGGCCCCCGGGCCTGGAGAAGCCGATGAACATGCTGTCGGTCCTCAGGGCCTACAGTTCTGATGGCTTAGCAGCCTTTAACGGCCTGGCAAGTAGCACAGCAAATTCTGGATGTATCAAGAGGCCAGACTTGTGTGGTAAGTTTTAGAATCGTCTTCCTTCAGTTCATTTCCCAAAACATCAGTGCTGAATTGTGCATTTTTAAAAAATGAGGTAGACTCCTCCGTGAGCACATGTGTGAACTAACCGCCCCGACAATGCTGTATATGCAGTGTAGACAATCACGAGAGTCCGTTTCATTTCGAAGGTTTAGAACTCACGCTTTTGTGTCCCGGTTTGCACCCCAGTGATCGGAGATGCCCGTCCAGAAGGCATGGAGAGAGGTGGGGGGGTGGGGTCTCCCCGTGCGAACTGCTCCTGTTTTTAATCTGTAACTTGAGGGGGAACATATTTTTAAGAACGGAAACACAGACAACAAGACATGGTAACTTGCAAACCCTTCAGTGTTTTCAACTTCTGCATAAGATGGCTGAAGACAGCTCCTTCCTTACTGCTTTGCTAAGCCAGACCTGCTTTCTTAAACTTTTCTTTACATTGACCTAGAGGCTACTAAAAATCGTATCACACTAACCACAATGTAGAAATAAAGTGCTCCTCTCTCCACCCAGGGCGATTGTTTTGGGGTGTTTGTGACTGCTCTTTAGACATTCCGAACGGCAGTGACTTGTGACCTGGGCCTTCCATTATTGCCTTCTGTCCCTTTGTATCTTCACCTGTCTGTCTGATGTTCTAACAAGCAATGTACGTTGTGAAATCCCTGGTTAGCAGTGTTGTGATCCTGTGTATCTTGGACTTATGCCTGCCTGATCTTGTTAGCAAATTGGCACTTCTTTACCTCCTGAAAGAATATGGTTACCCCAAAGTAATTCCAGGTCTTAAAGACGTAATAATAAATTTGGAGCCTAGAATTGGATCAAATGAATGTCAGGGTGGGCAGGGAGGATCAAAGGCATTCTCTTGGCACCCAGATATTCCTCGCTGAAAGCCTCTCTCTGAATAGGAGCTCAGTGTATTGTATCTAGTCCCATGTAGCCTTGCCAGAGACAAATGATTGTGGTACCTTTCCACGTTTAATCTATGAATGGATTTCTGTGACTCTACTGCACCTGTTGAAAAAAGGAAAGGGGAGAAGGAAGAAAAGGGAGGGAGGAAGGAAGGAAGGAAGGAAGGAAGGAAGGGAGGAAGGAAGGGAGGAAGGAAGAAAAGATGGATAATGGAAGGGGTTATTTCTCAACCTCCAAATTCTGATGTTGCTTTGAGCACACAGCAGAATTCAGGAAGCTGGACTGGGTGCCCAATTTAAATTGATATATTTCTTTTACCCTCTCCTTCCCTAATTCACTGAGAACTGGATCAAGCAGTCAGAAATATTTTTTTGAATTGTCAAAAATCACTAAATGGATTTCTGACAGTTCAAAACAATATTGACGGTTCCTGGCGCTGAATGATTCACAAGGCCCCATTAACCAGTACCCTCCGATCTATTTTTATCCACATATAATTCATTGCGTGTGAAGCTGTTAAAAACAATATTTAAAAGAAGGAGAAAGGGGTTTTATGTCAGTCCAATTTTTTTTTTTCTTTTTTTCTGGGGGAGCGATGTTTAAGTCTTCTTTTCTTTTTTTTCATTGTTGTTTTAAGTTTGTGACTTTTCTTCCTTTACTGTTGTTTGGTATTTTTTTTCTTTAAGTCTATTTTCAGCTCTTTCAAATACCTAAGTAGGACCATAGTTCCTGCCAGGAATCCATGCATCAGAAAAGATCAAAACCTGGCATGTTCATAAGCTCATTCTTCTTGAAATGAGCTCGTATTACCCCTATTAATTTTCCCGTCTTCCTATCAATGCTGAAGGAAGGCTGCCTGCCTTGGAGGAGCTCGCCCACTGGTGTCCTGCACAGTGAGGGTGGAGGGGAGGCAGCGTCGGTGGGCCTGGTGTCTCGTGAGCCCTTGTCCTCTAAACGGAGCACTTCTCACCTCCTCCCAAACAGCAGCCCACAGCACTCCCCTGACAGCTCCAGGGTATGTGCAAAACACTTTGTTTAGTTCACTTTCAGCCCTTGCGCCACAGATCCTGGGGTCTAAGTTGTGGCTCCTCTCTCAAAAGGGGAACGGACACCCTCGGGCCAGCCAGGCAAAAAAAAAACAACAGGCATCCTGGTTGCCTCTCCAGGTCGGGGTCCGGGTCTTAGCTCTACCCTGCACTCATGGTAAGATGCCAGAATGAACTCTGGCCACAAACTGCCTATTTTTAGAGAGCACAGGTTCTGCATTTCCTTGGGCCTCATTTCTTCTGTGTCCTCTCGCTCGAGCTTGGAAGCAGCCAGGAAGGCCCTCCCCTCGCCCCTGTGTTTGCTTGGGGTGGGCCGGAGCCACTGTCCCTTTTCCTCCAGGTGGGGCCTGCCCCTGCCCTGTCTTCACTCCCCGCTCCCATCTCTGGCCCTCCCTAATCAAAATCTTCTTACCTTGATTTATTTTCTTACTGGCTGCTATGTGTCCCAGAGCCCAGGGGGTTGGGGGTGGGGGGCCGAGGTAGGCATATTCACCCTTTTTCCACCAGTTGGTATCTGGGAGGAAAACTGAAGCCTCGCTGGTTGCAGAATGGGCATTCGGGGGCATCTCTCTCACGGTGCAGCTCACCGTCTCTCTAGCATCGCAAGGAGCACAAATGATGGTTGAAAACTTCCAACCCTTATTGGCTTGACTTTGCAAGAGTGGAAATGATATTGGCATCAGGAAATCAAATATTCCTGACGTTTCTTCCCTCTTCTCTGCTCCACTCAAAGTGGGTATGGATTTCCAAATGGAACCACCAGCTTGATATCTGGTTTCCTCAAGAAGCTGGGCTTTGCCAAACCAAAGAATTATTCCGGTATTCCTCATCTCAGGAGAGTTTGGGGTCTGACGGTTGTCTAGTTAGTAAACCCAATTCCCCACTTCGATGCCCCCAGAAACAGGCTTGTAGGAGGAGCTAATGTCCGTCTGTGTCTATTCTCATGGGATGTGAAAGTGTTTGGAGAAGCATCAGTCAAAATCTTGTTCAGATCACACAGACTCCCCACGGAGCTCAGCAGCAACTCTGACACATGCTGGCGAGTTGGAGGAGGTGGCATCTAACCCTAAAGTCTGTGGGCGACTCTCATGCTGTAGGCTGTACTTCTAGGTGCTTCCCTATCTCTGCATGCCTGCTTCCTAACTGCTCAAACTCTGGTCTTCCATTGCGTGGCTTCACGGACCTAGGTTCCTGGCCAGTGGGCACTGCCCGTGCCTGGCCAGTGCACTTCTGTCTCGGGTTCAGAAGAGAGAGATGAGGAGGGGGGGCCAACCCAGCCCATTGGGTAGGAGACTCCTGTAGCACGTGCCATGGTTGAGAGCTCGTGCCTGAACTTTCTAAAGGTCCTTCCATAGAGAATAGAGCATTTGCCTGTCAAAGCCGTATTACAGAAGATCCCGAAAAGGAGCCATCTTGGATTAAGCTGGAGGATATGGACTGTTGGCTCTAGAGTAGGTCAGATCCCACTATGGACCTGATTTCGTTGGGTGAAATCCCACTCCAATTAAAGCTTCCATTTCTTGAGGTGTCTTTCAGACTCCAGGCATAGCCCACATTTCTTTATTCTGCTGAAGAAACATGGCGTACAGGGTCATTCAGGGTCATTAGAGAACCTGGATGTGCCCTGGAGTTTGTTGGAATGGATTTGACCTTGGTCCTGCAATGGGACAGGAGCCACATGAGTATTTAATTAGGGAGCAAGGGCAGGCCGGAGCCGTGCTCACATCCACTGATAGGACAAGGTTGGGCAATCCCCTTGTCCAGGCTGAAACACTTGGATGAACTGTTGAGTCAGCCAGCAGCGCGAAGGTCAGACAGCATGGACGGCATGGGCTTCTGTGTGCCCCAGACCGCACAAAGGCCGGTCTGCACAGCACCTGCAGGGCTGGCTGCATGGCAGGGTTACAGAGCACATTTAACCCCAGTTTGTGGATTTGGAAAGCAACCCACAGATCACCCTTACTCTTTGCCTTTCAAACCTGAGACAGATGGCTGGAGGTCATCGTGTGTTGAGTCCGGCAAGCCAGGTTTGCTCGGTGTCTTTTGGTGAGCCCAGAGGCAAGGCTGATGGGCAGCATTAAAGGGAAAGGCAGCGAGAAGGACGACACACTTTGTCCGCCGAAGCTCTGGAGTTACCACCACGCAGGGAAGCGAGGCTGAACGAGGAGACTCCACCAGCGTGTCTGTCATGGGCATGAGGCCTTGCACAGTGGCTTCTGGACAGAGACACCCACCAGGCCCCAGGAGAAGCTATTGGGAAGGCAGGGTCATTAGCAACAGAGGCCCCAGTAGTCCTAACTTGTTATTCTCAGGTTGTAGGGGAACTGGTTTCCTAACCCAAATTATGCTTGAGACCGAAGGTTCCCTGGGCTCCCACAGTAGTGAGAGAATCGGGACCCCTCCTTAAAAAAAGAACGCGGGGTCCATTGAAACCTCTTCCCATCATCCATGCTAAGATGTGTGATGAAATGAACTAGGACATCTGAGCTGAACGCTGTTAAAATGGGACTTCCGTCCTCCACAAACCTCGCTGATTTCCAGTGTCGGCAGTCTGAAAATATTCACTACTTACCAGCTACACAGTCTAAAGCAGGGGTTGGCTACTACTTTCTTAAGGGGCCCGAGAGGAAATACATTAGGATTGCAGGCAGTGTGGTCTCTGTCACGCCCACCCCACCCTGCCCTGCAGTGCAGGAGGAGGAGCCACAAATGATCATTAAACAACTAGGCGTAAGGAAGGAGCTGCTGCTGTGTCGTCCCTAGAGAAGACACACAGGAACCCGTCTGCTGTTGCCTCGAGGGCCAGTGAGATGATGCAGGGAAGGCCCAGGTTAGTGCCTGCGGGGCTCCACCTACTGCCACTCGAAACAAAGCCAGAGACACCAGAGACTTTCCTGAGAGAGAGGCTTTGTAGACCCCGATGGCCTGGTGTACCTGTTCCCAGAAGGTCACATCTCTGCCTATGCACAGAGACTTGCAGGAGAAGACTCCTCCGTGCCTCATGGAGGTCCCAGAGTCTCCCCGGTC